TTTGTCACTTACTGCCGAGATCGACTCAAAACCTTCCACGATCCATCGGTCGATCGCGATTGGTTACACACTGAGTTCTAGTCAATGTGGCACACAATATGGAAGCTATTGAAGAAAACCTTAGATTATTTAACTTTAAAATATTGAATATGACTTGACATTTTAAAAGAGGGTAGACTGTTTCATGTAAAAGCATGAATTACCTTTTTTTATTGGATCAGTTGGTCATAAGGCAGGGCATTTATTAACATTTGTTGACAGGAGTGTTCAGTTCGGAAATCTGTTGACAGCCCCAAGTGAACCTCCGAGCGCTGAGGAGGGAGCTGGAGAACGGCTGGCCGAAATTAGCTTCATAAATCGGATCAACCTTGAACTAAACGCTGCTTTCGCGGCAGACATTTATAATATCCAACTCACAACTAACGTCACTGCAGTTGGTAACACATTAAAACCACCGGGATAAAGTTTGTTTTAGTCTGTGGCCTGTAAAGATGGCACCGGGCGAGCTGAACGGCCAACAGCGTCTGACGCAGTGACGTCGGTTCCAAGGCTCTATTGGCCAATAGCAGAGGAGCTGGACTCTCCTCATTAACATATCGATGCAGCAGAAATACAGCAAACGGAAAAACAGCAAACGGGAAAAGACCAAGCAGAAAAGGGAGAAGCAAAAAAAGACAAAGCAAAATATCTACTTTTTCTTGACAAAACGCATGTTTAGGGGAAATGAACAAGAAAATATATACATTACTACTTGACGGAAACTCATAAGGAAAAACTAAATATTTATGCTTTTATTTGTTCCTTTATTTATATATTTATTCTTTTATTTATACGTTTATTCTTTTATTTATATGTCTATTCTTTTATTTATACGTTTATTATTTTATTTATACATTTATTCTTTTATTTTTTTATTCTGTCGGTTTTGGTCCTTCGTAATACGTTTTAATTATATTTATTGTAAAAGTTAAAGAATTGTCATATTTTTTTAGCAAACATAAACTAAGCAAGTATGAAAATTATGTAAAAAAAACTTAGTAATTTATGATGCATATTAGTTGTGAAAATGAGTAAATATACAAACATATTTCTATTTCTATTTTACTTTGAACTAAAATATTTATTGTACTCCATCATTTATAAAAGTCATTAAATTATGCCACAATACAGTAATATTATTAGTAATGGTTTTTAGATAAGGTAAAAACTGTCATACATATATAAAAAAAAAATTAGAAACCATTTTTGAAAAAAAAAAGTTAGATACTGTCATGGAGGGGAATTAAGCAATCTGACGCCAGCCGGAAGCTAATTCTGCACACAAATGTGTTGAAATGTTCAATGTGTTATAATTTACTGTAAATTTTAACACACGTGTTAAAATGAACACAAAATATTGTTGAGTTATTTTTTAATGCATCTGTCTAAGAGAGAGAAGGAGGCATTCAAAGACATAAACAAGCATAAAAACAGAAAAATAAGAATATTAACCGGGGCGGACAGCCATCGGGCCGGATGCTGACCTGACGGCTCAGGATCACTGGGGCGGGACCAAAGGCTCAGTTTGGGTTCAATTTAATTTAAAAAAAATTAAAATAAATAAACCTTCCGTTTGTAAACCTCACTCTGGTATTTGTCTGCCTGAAACTCCCACTGACTGAAGATGCAGAAGGGAAAGGAGACGTGTTTCCCTAATTTCATTTTCTGAGGATTTCTGTATGCCAGAGAGACACACCAGCTTCCACACAGGCGGTGTGATTATATTAGATTCTAGAGATCTGCGTCTGGTGACTTTTTCAGTTGTTTTGAAAAAAAAAATGTTTTTGATGGTGGTTAAATGTTAAACGTTATTACTTTAAGAGCCCCCCTCTTCCTGGAATCAAACCCTGATGAACATCAAACGTCTTCCTGCTCTGAATCAAACATAGCTGAGTAAAACCAAAATCTACTGAAGGTGAAAGCTGATTGGCTGCAGCATACGTGTGATTCATAGATCAAAGCTGAACCCTGTTTCTGTTTTCAGGAAATGAAACTCACACAGACCTTGTGGCTGAGAGCAAAAATGGCGCAGAGTCAGATGGACCGAGAAACTTTCTCCTGTTCGATCTGCCTGGATCTACTGAAGGATCCGGTGACGATTCCCTGTGGACACAGCTACTGTATGAACTGTATTAAAAGCTTCTGGGATGAAGGTGAGGAGAAGAAAAGCTACCACTGCCCTCAGTGCAGGGAGACATTCACACAGAGGCCTGTTTTAAAGAAAAACATCATGTTAGCAGGTTTAGTGGAGCAGTTGAAGAAGACTGGACTCCAAGCTGCTCCTGCTGATCACCGCTATGCTGGACATAAAGATGTGGCCTGTGATTTTTGTACTGGGAGGAAACTGAAAGCCATCAAGTCCTGTTTATTCTGTTTGGCCTCTTACTGTGAGAAACACCTTCAACCTCATTATAGTTCAGCTACATTTAAGAAACACAAGCTGGTGGAGCCGTCCAAGAACCTCCAGAAGAACATCTGCTCTAAGCATGGTAAGGTGATTGATATCTTCTGCCGCACTGATCAGAAGTCTATCTGTTACATCTGCTCAGTTGATAAACATAAAGACCACGACACAGTGTCAGCTGCAACAGAAAGGACTAAGAGGAAGAGAGAGCTGAAGAAGAAACGACGAAACATCCAGCAGAGAATCCAGGACAGAGAGAAAGATGTGAAGCTGCTTCAACAGGAGGTGGAGGCCATCAATCACTCTGCTGATAAAACAGTGGAGGACAGTGAGAAGATCTTCACCCAGCTGATCCGTCTCCTCCAGAAAAGAAGCTCTGATGTGAAGCAGCAGATCAGATCCCAGCAGGAAACTGAAGTGAGTCGAGTCAAAGATGTTCAGGAGAAGCTGGAGCAGAAGATCACTGAGCTGAAGAGAAAAGACGCTGAGCTGGAGCAGCTCTCACACACAGAGGATCATACCCAGTTTCTCCTCAACTACCCCTCACTGCCAGCACTCAGTGAGTCGACACACTCATCCAGCATCAACATCCGTCCTCTGAGACACTTTGAGGACGTGACAGCAGCTGTGTCAGAGCTCAGAGAGAAACTACAGGACGTCCTGAGAGACTCATGGACAAACATCTCACTGATGGTCACTGAGGTGGATGTTCTACTGTCAGGACCAGAACCAAAGACCAGAGCTGGATTCTTAAAATATTCACATAAAATCAAATTGGATATAAACACAGCAAACACATGGCTGGTTCTATCAGAGAGGAAGAGAAAAGTGAGAAGGATGGATAAACATCAGTTTTATTCTAGTCATCCAGACAGATTCACTGGTTGTTGTCAGATCCTCAGTAAAGAGAGTCTGACTGGACGTTGTTACTGGGAGGTGGAGTGGAGCGGGAGAGTTTATGTTGCAGTTGCATATAAGAACATCAGCAGATCAGGAGATGGGAATGAAAGTGCATTTGGATATAATGACAAGTCTTGGGCTTTATATTGTTCTTCAAATAGATGTGAATTTGGTCACAACAACATCTGGACCTCCATCTCAGCTCTTCGTTCCTCCAGAGTCGGAGTGTACCTGGACCACAGAGCAGGTATTCTGTCCTTCTACAGAGTCTCTAAATCCATGACTCTGATCCACAGAGTCCAGACCAGATTCACTCGGCCGCTACATGCTGGAGTTCGGATTAGGTACCTTGGGGGTTCTGCAGAGTTCTGTAAACCCAAATAGATTTTCTCTCTGATTGTTGATCAGGATTCATTATTCCGATGTTCTTCTTTAATTTTCTGGCTTAAATGTGGTTCTCTGAGTTCCAGGAACCATAAAGGATTTCACTGCTGATGTTTTTATTTCATTCTTTATAGCACATACATGTTTCTCCGCATGAAAATCTAAACTTTTCTGCTCACTAATAGTTTTGCTTTAATATTTGCATTGATGAATTTGAATGTTCTGGTTTGTCTTCCTCCTTTGGAGAACAGACGCTGTTTAAATCAGTTCAGATTCAACTGAGCTTCTGTTTTCTTTAAGATCCAAAGAAAAAACTGGAAAATAAATGTCTGCTGTTCTGTCTCTGACTTTCTTCAATTAAAAAAAACTGATTACAGAGAAATGTGGACATTTTTTTCTTAATTATAAATTGTGAGTTCTGATGTTTGGCTTCTCCTTCATAGAGAATAATCTGATTTCTGCTGCAGAAATATTATATTCATTTAAGCTTCTATTACACTGATCAGTTAATCTGTCAATGCAAACATACATCAAGTCAATGAGTTATTTTATCTATAGATGAGTGGTCTATAATACTTGGTGTTGGAGCTATTTGTTCTTTATTTCTTTATCCATTTGAATTTTGTTAGTTTATTCTTAAATTTATATGTTTTGTATTATTTATGGAGTTTATTTGTAGGTTAATAATTGTTGATTTTATTTATTTTCTAAGTAAAGAGGAAGTGATGTGGGTTGGTCCACTTTCTATAAGTGCAGGTCCTGGTGAAGGACCAGCAGGCATTTGGGTTTGGGGCCGATGGTTTTACCAGAGCAAGAGAGGCAGCATGAGAACAAAGGGAAGTTTGATCTCTGTAATTGTTTTGCTGAAATGGGAAAATAAACCATATAAATTATAAATCCAGAACAATTTACAAGTTTGGACATTGAACCTTGCTTTGCCTGCGTAGAGAAACGTGACCCCAGTGCCTCAGTAGTGGCTTGGTGGGAGTTTTATTGGATGTTTGGTGTGCAAAACAATCACCACTACACTAGTTTACACTAGTTTATGATTTATATTTAAGATATTTAAAGTAATACAAGATATTTGATTCCTGTGAAGTTACAGGTTTTATTACATGTTCCATAACTTCAGAGAATAAACTCAGTAAATATTTAATTCTTGGTCTTAGATGAGGACACTGTGATGTTCAGTGGTGGAAATGAGGAGGCAGACTCGGTCAGAAAGATTCTCCTTTAATAAACTCTTCACAAACAAGCCGCTGTCTTAGAAACAACCTGTAACGTTTCTGGAGTTGGGGAGATAAAGTAGATCTGTCTCAGTCCATTCATCTGTCTGCAGCACGTTTCGCTCACCAGGGAAGCAGTGGCGCATACTTATGACATCACTAGCAATAACTCGTGCTCTCTTAAAGAGACACTACACAATTACGGTTGTTACAAGACAGTTTATTTCCAGTTCTTTTCCTTATTCTGCAGCCTGTAAAACCCTGATATCCCTCCTCCAGGCTTCTGCTTTAAATCTGTGTCCAGCTCCTGTCTGACCACAGATCTCCTCATTTCCTCCTCTGAAGACCTGAAAACAGAAACACAGCTCTGACACACCTGTAACAGGAACAAAAAGAGCAACAAGGTGCTGCAGATTTCCATGTTTTCCAGTCAGGATGAATATAATAGGATGAAAATAAACATGCTTTAGAAGACTAAACCCCCAGATCTGGAAAAAGAAGTGTGATCTTTAAAAAATACTAAATATCTGCTAAGTATCTATAAAATTCAGCCAGTTGTGAGGATTTGATTTGCACAGATTCCTCTTTTCAAAGATCCACACAAACTGCTGCAGCTGCTGTATTAGCACTAAGGACTCCTCCCTGTTTTAATGGAGACACAAATGCAATTTAGTAGCTAATCTGTGCAACTTGTTGACTTTGTTTCTAGAGTAGTTTACTAAATCAGCTGCTCCTCTGATGACTTGACGGGGAGCACTGGGACATTTCCCAGGGGGCTGGTTGCTGGTCTAAGCTCCCACTAACTGCAGTTGATAAGTGGAAAAGAGACGCCCATTCATTTTCTGTTGTCTCATTTTCCGAGGCCGTCTGTCAGTACAGAGTCACACACCAGGCTGTGGAGGTGTTATGCAGAGGTTTGTATGCCCTGTCGTAGGAATGTGCATTGCTCAAATACCCGCATATTGATGAGAAAACAGATTGAAATATGACTTTTAAAAATATACATGATATCAACATGTGACCTATCCATTAATGTTCTGAAAGGTTGGTGTGCCGCTGTTTATATATATTTTGCTGAAAACGTATTTTTCACTCTTACTTGTATCAAGCAACCAACTAAAAACTTTTCAGACCATTTGTAAGTTCTGCCATCAATGCCCATTTTCTGTAGTTGATTATTAATGTTTGTTTCTGCGTCATGTCATAGACCTTTGCTACATCTAGACAAACAGCTGTTATACACTCCATTAACCTCAGCTTCTTTTGTTTTAAACCAGTGGTGTAAACAAAGTCCAGGGTTCATAATTCCTCCACTTCCTAAATCCTCTTTGATACTTAGATAAGGAATCATCAGATTCAGAGTAAAAAGGTTAAACGTTCATTTATCATTTTCTGCATGTATTTTGGAAAATATCAGCTCTAACACTGTTGCTTTTTCTTCACTGCTTACTGCTGCTGCTGTTACATCACTAATTAAAACAAGAACAACCGGAGTCTGTTCTTACACCATTCATTTGGTTTATCCTCTTCCAGATTTTCCTTGAGTCTGATATTCCTGCCTCTTCTTCCTGCTCTTGAACACATCTTGAAACTAGGAGGAACAACAGCTGCTGAAGCTGAAAGCTGATTGGCTGAAGCCTCCCTGCACTCAGACATGATTGGTAGATCAGAGCTCAACCCAGTTTCTGTTCTCATGAACTGAAACTCACACAGACCCTGTGACTGAGAGCAGAAATGGAGCAGAATCAGATGGACCGAGAAACCTTCTCCTGTTCAATCTGCCTGGATCTACATGTTGGGCTTTCTGTGTTTCCTGGAGGTTCTGCAGAGTTCTGTAAACCCAAATAGATTTTATTTCTTTTGATTGTTGATCAGGATTCATTATTCTTCTCTGCTCTGTTCTTCTTTATTTAAATGTCGTTCTCTGAGTTCCAGAAACCATAAAAGTTTTCACTGTTTTCTTTCATTCTTATGTGACAGGAATATTTCTCCACATAAAAATCTAACTTTCCCTGGGCTCTTGTAGTGTTGGTTGAATATTTGTATTGATGTGTTTGGAGGTTCTGGTTTCTCTTCCTCTGTTCTGGAGAACAAATGTTATTCTTGTTTAAATCAGTTGATATTGAAATTAACTGAACTTTCTTCTTTTTCCTTTACTGTGATCCAAAGAAGAAAATGAGTCTAACATCAACTTACAACTGGTGGTATTTTCTTTTAAATTATTTAGATGTAGATCAGAAAAATAAATGTCTACTTTTCTCTCCTTTGACTTTCTTCATTAAAATAGACTTGATTACAGAGAAATGTGGAACATTTTCTTTTAATTTTTGCTATAATTTGTGAGTTTTGTTGTCTAAAGTGCAGAAACATTTCTATTAGATCAGTGGTTCTTAACCTTTTTTGAGGTACCGAACCCACCAGTTTCATATGCGCATTCAGTGAACCCTTCTGTGGTGATAAATATTATTTTTTGCCCCAAATTCAAGACATAGGGGTGACCTAACTAGACTCTATTTGGGTGACCCCATGATCACCAAGTCTTCCTAAAAGGTAGAGTCTCTGAGAACAGTTCTTCAAAATATAGTCAGTGTTTTCAGAAAGGTTGAGCTGACTGTCCAGGAACGACCCACGGTATTTAAAATCTGCCACAGTTTCAACAGGTTGGCCATCGAGAGAAACTGGAACCACTTTAAGGTCTTGTTTAGATCATTTAATTAGCTCTACATTCTTAAGAGAGTGAAACATTAATAATAAATAATAAAGACTTTGCGGTATTCTGATTTAGTAATGTAATTATATTAGTTGTGTTACCACCTCCACGCCACTAGAGGCAGTAGCAACCCCAAAAAGATGCAACTAAAGGAGCAGACAGGGTGCGTTCACACTGCAGCCTGAAGTGACTCAATTCCGATGTTTTTGGCGTAATGCGACCTGTATCCGATCTTTTCTGTGAACAGCACAGGATTCTTTTTCGAATGTGACCCATATCCGATACGTATATCCGATACAATATCGTATATTGAATCGTATATTGAATCGACGTTTGGTCGATTCAAATGCGACCAAACGTTCAGGTCGCAATCATCCGAACTGAACGTCACTGATTCTCAACAAATCTCAGTATTCTGCGTCCTGATACACGCAAGTGGGAAGAAAAACAACAACCATGATGGAATATATGAGGATAATGAGGGAATAATGGGAATACTGGCTTCAGCTCTGTATTCCCAGCTTCCTGTAATCATGAGCTTCTGAAAACTTCTTCAAATGCAGTCAGCAACCTTTTATCTGCAAAGTGATTTATAAATTGAAGAAACAGAGATGTGTTAAAATGGTCTTAAAGTTTCACTTGTTTTGTGTTTTAAATGAACATTTTTCTCTCTGAAGTTGTTTCTGTTCTGCTGTTATTAGACTCTTAACTTGAAAACCTTCATAAATCCTCAGATTCTCTGTAAAAACTCTGAAAAGACTGTCTAATGAATGAAAACAGAATAAAATTAAATAAATGAATTCAAATAATCTGAAGTGAGTCTCTGAGTCGTTTTCATTTCAGGCAGAAACTCTGATCACTTTGAGGCAACAAAGAGATAAAAACAGATATTTGGTTTATTAAGATGTAAATAAAATTATTAAAATACTGAAACAAAACAGAAAGTAATTTCCATAAATGAATCCGACTGTCAGGATTCATCTTCCTTTCTAATCCCTGAACGTTCTTCCAGAATCTCACAGATTTATAAACTTTGTTTTGTAAAAAAACAAAACAAAAAAAACATTTTAATATTCTGTTCACAAGTTTGTATTTTGCAGAATGAAAACAATCTTTGCTCTGATGGATCATCCAGGTTTCATCCTGGTTTTCCAGGTTCCTGTAATTTAGATCCAAGTTTCAAATTTTGCTCCAATAAAAACATTAAAAACATTTTAATATCCTGACTTCACTTTGGAATTACAGCTGTAAAGTTTAATGCGGATTTCCTCATTATAGTCTTTAAATTAATCACTGAAAAGCAAAAGTAATTGAAGCTGTTGAGCTCATTTGATCTGTTTTTCACCTGGTGATCTGTGCTTTATAATTAAGTCTTAAATGCTGGAGTTTCCTGTCTGTCCTGAGCACCTGAACGCCTCACAGCTGCGTTAAAACGTTTCCTCAGTCTGCCTCAGTGGGAACAACAGGCTGCGTTCGTTCAGCACAGAAACTTAAATATCTGCTCCTTGTTCCTGTTGAATTCAGTCAGCTCCATTTGAAAAAGTATGTATGAATTTA